GCTTTTCTCAACTGTTTTGCTTAATATAACATGTATAAAGATAGCTTTTATTGTCGTTTAATGGGAAAACGAGAACAGCGTGAGTGTTGTAAAAGAAAAGAAAGTCGTTGGCGCTGTGGAGTTAAAAGAAGGGACAACAGTTGACATATTGACTGGTACAAACAAGGGTCGAGTGGCCATCTGTAAAGCTACGATTTTGAAAGTTTGTGGTGAGTAAAAATTGCGATATTCAAATTCAGATGTCTTGGAATCCAGATACAAAATGGTCAAGCTTCTTGTAGACAACCTCATTCAAGGCCAACTCATTGTGAGCCCAGGGGAAAAATACAAACAGCAGCTAAGTTTGCAGTTTAGGATAACTTCACTCTAATTTATTGTTACATTTACAACAAGACTTTAATCAAAAAATCAATTTTATTTATCCGTAATTAACCCCTACACTCCCAAGAGTGCTTGGTTTTCAAATATAATTTAAGATATTGTATTTTATGGAAAAGAATCAACAGATTTGTCAAACCAATTTTAATGATTGAGTAGGACTATTTTATATGAATAGCTGTAATTGAGGATTAATCCATATGAAGTTTTCAAGAAAAGAAAAATAAATCAAATTCCATCTTAATATTACCACAAGTTGATGTTAATAATTAATCAAAAATATTTTAAATGTAAGCCTTAATTAAGCTTCTAAATAAATTTCATTGAATACTGGGTTTTTTTTTAATTTAGAGTATTTATTTAATATCATTAGCCTCAAATTTTTGCTTAAAAATTCCCAGTAATTCTTAAACATTCCTAAAAATTCCCAAAAATTCCCAGAAATTCCTAGGAATTTTTTAGATTTACAGCTTTTCAGGGAAAGTCATTGGTTCTCTGAGTTGGAATTCCTAGGAATTCCAAGTCCTGTTGGCTATAAACTTGGAATTTCTGGGAATTTCTGGGAATTTCTGGGAATTTCTAGGAATTTCTAGGTTTTTAGAACCAGAGTTGTTATGGTTGGGAATTCCTAGGAATTCCTAGGAATTCTCAAGTCTGTCATTATAAGTCTGTCATTACCATGCTACGCTCAATTATACATCTAAATCTTAGGTAACCTAACTGTCATCAAAGCCTTAGCTCAATTACCAAATTAGGTAATAAGGTATCATGTAATACACTTATAAGATTGTTGCGACAGTCATTAACCAAGCCTTTTTTGTCAAAATAGACGGTATTGTTCCTCCTTATTTTCTCCATGTTTTTTGTTGTTCATGTCTTTGTCTTGCTCCACCAATCCGTTTATTCCTAAGAGTGATAAGTATCTAATTTCTCCCAACAATATCACCCCTGAATCAAATGTTAAAGTCATGAGAATAAACGAAATGATAGTGAACTTGAGAAGCTCTTGATTGCTAGACAAATTCTCCTTTTAAGTTTCTTTGGAAATGTATAGGGAACAGTATGGAGAATTTGCATACTAATGTAAAGAGAACAGTATGGAGAACTTGCATACTAATGTATAGAGAACAGTATGGAGAACTTGCATACTAATGTAAAGAGAACAGTATGGAGAACTTGCATACTAATGTAAAGGCAAAAAGGGTTAAGACACCAGAAAAGGATTAATATCCAGTCATGAACAGTCCACTAGACTAGATATGTAAAGGAATATTTAAGCGGTTTAATTATAAGACAATTTTCTCTCCCATATACAGGAAGGCAAGGAGGGTGATGCTGAAAGAATACGGATCATGAACATGGTGAAGGTATGTTTAAGTTGTGGCTCTTACTGTATTTTTAAACCTTTAAACTTTTGCTCTCTTTAATTGCATTTAGTTTGCTGCCATTCACTGCCCTGTATGAATGCAATGATTTGTTTTGAACTGGTAAAAAAAGGGGTTTTCTCTGTAGGCTGAAATAGTGACAAAATTGCTTTAATGAGGACCACAATTTAGGTTGTCAATAGGGTTTAAGTGATCTCAGTAAGCTAGGACCACAGGAACAAGGCTGATAAACATTAAAAAAAAAATCAATTTCTTACTGTGGCATTGGCTCAAACAATATTAAATTAATTTAATTAATATTTTTATCAGGAAGGGATATGGTCTGTTGAAGAAGCTATGAAGGAGGCAAAAACTCTTGGAGTGATTGCTTCTCCTGAACCAACAAATGATGATGGGAATGGAGAAGAGAAGATCTTTAATTTTGGAGTGTACAAGTATGGCAGGGACAAGACAAGTCTTTCTAGGAGAATTTTACAGGTTTGACTTGCTAAAACAAGTTTACAGCTCTTAATCCTTTAACTCCCAGAAGTGATTACCATGAAACAGGGCGTGAAATTAACTTTTTTTCCTGATAGCTACTTGGCTCCGAAATTCTTCAAAGTGGTAGCCAATTCAAAAAAAGTTGGTCGCCATTTTCAAAGACAAACAAAATCTTTCTTTACGCTGTCAGCGTTCTAGATAGACCCTCCAAAATTAAGTTAGGGAAAAGATCTTTAACGTGCTACAAAGTGGACACCAGGATGGATGATAAACAACGTTCAGGCTCATCTAAATCCAAGATGGTGTCTAGTTATCAATTGAGATGCATGTGCTACGTTTTGGAAACAAACTTAACGAGGAAGTTTGCCGCGGATTTATCTTTGCAAATCTTTTTAATTCACTATATCTCTTGGTAAGGTTATGATGAAACGTTGTAGTCGCCAATTTGGCGACTAACTTTCAGGATTTGGTTGCCAAAGTGAAAAATTTAGTTTCATTGGCACCTGTATCAGGCGCAATTTCACGCCCTGTGAAACTTCTCCTTATAATATCCATACAACTTATCCAGCAAACAGGTAATGAGAACATTCAAACTTATCAAGTAGAAGTTGTGATCTTGATCTAACACCAAATTCTTATAACTTGTTTGCAAGGGAATGTGTAGCAGCCAGAGGGGAGAATTAACAATCAGATCTTGGGAGTTAAAGGGTTAACTTATGTTTTAATATATCTTTTGTTTTTATTTGTTTTTCTTTCATCTCATTTCTTCCTTTCTTTGTTCCTTTTATCCTTGTTGCCTTTTTTGCTTGTTTGCTTGTACACTCTTGCTCATTTGCTCATTTGTGTCTTTGTTTTACCTTTTATTCAGTCTTAAGTAGAGCTCTCAAGTCTCATGCATCAAGTGTAAGACTGATGCAAACAAATTTAATCTGACTTATGCTTTCATGGTAAATCCATTTCTAACTCATTTAAGGTTTCAGATTTATTCTGTTGATTTTGATATGGTGAACTGTTGTTTTCGTTAAGTACTCTGATTGTCTTTCTTAATATAATTTACTCCTTGTTTCTTATGTGCATGCCTCTAACACTTTTCAGCAGTAGAATTTCTTGCTCAGATTGAAGGAATGCACTTTGCTACTTCATTTTTTCTCAATGTTCCTGGGGAACATGCTTCTACACCCTCCCCCCCTCTACCCTAAATAGGTGATACCCATGGCATCTCACTCTTTGTCAGCAAAAGGACTTGAGAGTGCTGCAATTCATTCTGCCTGTAAATCACTTAAAGTTTTTGATGGAATCAACTTGTTCATCCATTGTTAATCTGCCTGTTTATCTCTCTGTTGTATTTGTTTTTTTTTTAATGTTAGGCATTCAGGAAGGAAGGCAGTCAGTCAGATCTTTCAGTTTTCAATTGTTCAATTTTTAAAAAATGTTTCCTTTTTTTCCAGTTTGATTTTCAAGAGAAGGTGCTGTGTATCATTCAGAAAGGAAACAGAAACAAGAAATTTGCATTCACTGATATCAAAGGGTTTGACAGTGAGGTGAGTTTTGCATCATGCAGTGACAAGTTATAAATATCTGTTAACTTGATAAAATTTCTTGATTACTGTTAAAACAACAATGTGCAACTTTTTAATTCTAGGATGGTGTGAGATTTTACATTTATCTTGAAAGTGATTATGAACTTGATGCTGACAGTATTGAGGAGAAAAACAAGGTTGGTACATGTTTATTGATTTTCTTATCTGAAAACTGTGGAGATAACAAGATGAAATTTATTTTAATTAATTATGTTATGATTTTCATGTAAATTTTATGTGACTTTTTGACCATGAATAGTTTAGCAGTTTCCTGTTGCATGTGGACTTGTATTGTAGGTGAGAGATTATGAAACATGGTTATTGTTTAAAATGTGAGTTCCCTGACAATTTTTTGTTTTGCAAGATTGAGGTAAAGGTGACCAAGTGTTATCCATTAGTACTTTTGTAAAGTTGTTGCATAGCACTATGATGACAAATTAAAAGTGTATCAGGCACATGCATGAGTGAAAAGAAATTGCTGAACTGAAGTGTTAGCAATGAAAATGGTACTAACAGTGACAAAGACCATGACAACAACTATGACCATGACGATATTGAGGATAACAGCAAAAAGGACAACAAAAACAAAAACAACAACAACAACAACCACAACAACAACAACACTACAGAGACAATAACAACATTAGATTGAAAAGAGTTGAACTAGAATTGTAGCATTTGCAGAGACAGGCAAGAAGAATAGTCATAGCCCAATCTATAAATAATTTACTCTTCAAAATCAGGTGTATCAGAAATGTTTTGTCTTAATTTCTTACACAGATTTGTCATCTACTGGATTCTATCGTGACACAGAGCAGAGGAGATGAACCAGATGGTAAATCTTTCATTCTATGACTTGCTCATTACCAAAAAAACAGTTCACTTCAGTTGGATTCAAAATGTTTCCGAATAAATTATCAAATTAATCTTGTATCAAGCTAGTCAGAGGATTAAAGAATAATGCATTGTATGATATAGAGAGAAATCCCATAAGGAGAGTTCTGAGGATAATGATGTTAACAAGGAATGGCTAATGGCAGTGATGAAAGCTATGTTGCATGTTTCCTCAAATAAGCAACTGCGTGCTTGTTTAAAATTTTGGCTAAAAGGAGGGGCATTTAGTGAATAGAAGGCACTTAATTGAGGGGAGGGGGAATACTTATTACTTTCTGTTACTGATTCTTCTTTAATTGAAGCTGCAAAAGTTATAAATAAAGTGGAAGTAGAAACAGGTTTCCCTTGTATCCCTATTCAATTAAGAAAGTGAGTGAGGAGGAGGGGTGCTTATTTGAGAGGGGTGCTTGTTTGACATTATGGCAGGAGGGTGGGTACTGATTGGGGGAAATACTGTATTCTTGTACTTTGTGATTGACAACAGTCTTGGGCTCATCACTTTCTTGTTGACACAATAACTTTGCCTTTCTTATTTTGACACACCTGTTTCACAACAGTAATCAATTGTTTTCATTTACTGAATAGGGGAATTTGAAGCACCATCACTTGACACTACAAAAGTTATCAAAGAAGGCCAGATTGAGAAGAAAGGTCATAGTGTGGCATTTATGATGTGGCCAAGGTAAGGAGAAGCTGTTGGACCACCTAGTTAATTGGAGGGGCCATTGTAGTGCTAATGGCTACAGGGAGCAGGTCCATGGCAGGAAGACAATGATGGTTAGCAATGAAATTCAGAACTGTCAAGTAGAGCGGAGAGTTGGCCAAAACAGCTAACTATTTTCAAAAGCCATTCTCCAGTTTTGAGTGGAAGTGAATGCATGATTTACCAGCAACATGTTTACGTGTGTGAATCACTTCCACTTTAAGAATTTGCTTCAAGTTTTGGGCAAACTTTGTTGAACCCATGGAATGATTATGACCTAATAGTACTCACTCTTGCTTGATATGTGATGAATTGGCCACCTACTACTAAACCCTTTCAAACTTTCCACTTTCAAACTTATTGACAGCCCCTGGACAAGAAAAGAAGCAAATTATGCCTTCACAAGTCATTTGCTCCTTTTAAAAAAAATAGACCTTCCTATTTATCAACTTGTAAGGAGTTTTGCTAAATTTACAATATATAATAGAAATGTAACTTGAAGTTTTTTCAGAAGCAATGGTTTGGGCAATGTCTTTTTGTTCTTTTTCTCACCATTAATAAGTACGTATTAATAAGGTAATAGGAATTACATCCCACAAGCATTCTGAGAAGCAGGAAGTGGATTTGTTATGTGACAAGATTCTTATGTTATTTATTTTGTAGGCGATGGCTGCGCATCCAGCAAGGAGAATTATCATATTTTAAGTTGGGAGAGGAAAGCCAGGTGGGTTTGTATACAGCAGTAGTTAGTTGTACAAAGTGAACATAGACTTGTACTATGTTCTTGATCAACGTCCTTTGAGAAATTGCATTGTAAATGGGGCTGTGAGTGGGCAAGGGGGAACCTGGGCTACTATGGAGCAGTGGCTATGGATGAGGGAGTTGTCACCACTTTGCCTTGGCGTCAAGCCACATATCAACTCTACTATATCCTATATATCTCTACTACATCCAGAGGTACTTTTTTTTCCAGTCGATTGGACCACATGGGGTGCTTATCAATAGTTGGAACTGACCATCCAGACTGACCTATTCAAAATGCAGGGGTTATTTTTTAGAGTTCTCTACAATTTTTCTTCCCCTAAAATTGTGTACACAAAGCAACGATTTAAAAAAAAACTAGCTGATACAGACAGACAATTTAAATGTCTAAAGAAATTCCTCCTTTAATGAATAGACCTGTAAATTAATTTACCTTCAACTTGTTTAAATTTGTGTGCAGGCTGCTTTGAACATTGTTAAGCTTGGTCCTGGGATGGCGGAAGTCAAGAGTGTGGATCATAATGCTTTCATTATCATCACAAGCAAGAAGGAATATAGGTATGATGATAAAACCAGTGCCTCTCATTTCATATACCTCAGATATGATGGCATAATGGTCAGAGTGCTAAACACTGGATTTAAAGAGTGTGAGTCAAACCAGGGGCCCAATTGTTGAAGATCCTGATAACGTGTTCTTGGCCAGAGGTCTGGAAGGACCTCTCCGCGACCCATCTCAAATCTTCCTACAGATTGAAAAACGCACGTTCTGCAGCATTAACGATTAGGGCCTGCTTGCAAGCTACCCTTCAAGGCCATTATATTTACCAACCCCTTAAAAAAAAAAAAGAAATTCTTGACAAACTTTTTTTGTTTACTGCATCTTTATCGTGCTAAATTTTAAAGTTGTATTATCATTCATTCATTCATTCATTAACGGTAACTAACCAGTTACTTATCTAAATCAAATGACATCTACATGTAAATTGTGTTGTACATATGTGGTTATTTCCATCTTTCAGTTTCCGTGTGTTAAATCTGAACAATGCGGGCGATAATGCTGTTGAAAAAGAAAGAGACTCATGGATTGAGGTTTATTGCATGCAGTAGATGCAGCGTTATTCATTTCATAAGTATCGTGATACTAATTGCTTATAAATAATACATGCACCGTCCATTGCTTTAATTTCATTTAGAATAACCATTATGTCCATTTTTGCGTCAATGCCCGTTTACACTTTGGACAGTCCCAATGTAGTTGGGCAATCTTTTTTAGATCGTTAATCCATTAATAGCACGGTAGAAATATCATTTGATTTGGCGCTTTACTTGAGAGATGATATTATTTAGTAAGTAACACAAGCAAACTCGGAGAAAAATAACTTAGAGTGCTCCCAACAGGAGCCGGATCTACGACCTTCCATTGAGTCGATCGGATGCCTTATCGCTGAGCTATAGGGGAATCGTGGGAGGCTAGGCCGTTTAATTAAACAAAACACGTCTCCGTTTCAGAACTCTTTTGTCGTTAGGTCACCTTGTCGAGAGTTTTCTCCATAGCCTGGGAAGACAATATATATGTAAGCAAAACAATTTTCACAAACAACATGATGCGACAGTTATGCACATTCTAGTTGGTGACAACTTGTAAATTTGAATTTTCAGGCTATAACTACAGCTTCCCAAATAAGTTTCCGTCAATCAAGAGCAGTATCGTCAGTTCATGATGAAGCAGGTTACGTACCTTGATAATTGTTTCAAAATGATGAAAAGTATCACAGGAATTTAACATATACTGTTGTTTTTCATTTTATTTCAGCCATTGCATCCTCTGTAATAGAACAGGAAAAGTATCTTAAAGATGTTGTCAGAACACTTCAAAGAGTATGTCTTCTTTTTTTTAACGTATTTCTTCGATAGAACGCGGCAGGTTTTTTGTTTAATCTTCTTCGCGCTCTCTATGCGGGGTTTATTCCAAAGTAAAATCTTATTTTATATATTACCGAAAGATTTGTTCGAAACATGGTCAATCCAAATTTAAATTTCGTGGTAATATGTGATTTTGTATGTAGCTATCAGGGGATAAATGTTAATCTGGTTTTGAAAACTTAACCCTAGCTTGACTAAATGATTGATACATAATTTACAACTATGGTCGTTGTCGCTGGTGTTGTTTTTGTTTCTTAAACATACATGACAATTTTTATACTCAAATTTTGTTTCGTTTTAGGAGTTGGAGCAGTTAGGTTCTGTGTTGTCTGTGGTCAACGCACCAATTCAAGCTACTGTGCAGGTAAATTAGAATTATATTGATCAAGAAACTTAAATGCCTGAGAGTGATTGTTGTGGACCATAAATCCAAAACCGAGTGGCAATGGCAACTAAGAACAATTTAGCGCTTTTCGACTGAGTGTCGTAAGATCGAAACCAAAACAATTACAACAGCCAATCATAGCAAGGAAAATATTACCAGGGAGCCAACGAGAATGAAAGTAAAACAAGCAAACTTCCTGAAGCGCGGGAAAAACGCGAGAGTCCCAAGGCACGATTGGTTTTAGTTTTAAATTTGATTGGTTAAGAAGAAGGCGTGAGCTTTTTGAACCAATCATAGAGCAAAGTTAAGTAACTCCAAAATTGCTCTATCACACGGGGCTCGTGATCACTTATTGTAAAACAAGGAAATTACTTGAATTGCAAGAAATCTTAAGTAATAAAGTGTCGGCTGTTTCTGATTTGAAGAGAGCTTTCCGATGAATGAAAGGGGGCAGAAAGAGTAAAGTACTGAAAAATACACCCCCAAATTTTCCTTGTTATTTTTGACATTCATTTTCAAATTAACGAGGTTACCTCCATTTATTATATCCACTTACAATAGTGATTATCGTTAACTTAACACGTTATTTTTCGCTACAAAAAATGCTGATTGTATATTTGTCGGACCATCATCGTCATCACAGGAGTTTCTTTTACTCAGTATCACGTCAAACCCTCACTCACGCGGTAGAATGTTTATTTTAGGTCAAGAAGGTGAAAGATGTTGTGCGCAATTTGGATTCACAAGTCAAAACAGGCGTGTTGTCATGGACAATGTGAGAAAATTTTTTGATTTTTGAGTGTTGTTCGTGCATAAATCCCAACCCCCAAAAAGCTACTTATGCAGGGTATAATAATAAATCTTCATGTGTTGAGGTCTGAAAATCACCCTCACATACCTTTCTTGGACGATCAAAGGTTCACGTATGATTGGCCTTTTGTTTGTAGGAAGTGCAAACGACGTAATTTTCACGGGGCTAAGGTTTGAGTCTTGAGTCCTGGAGAATTGCTTATACAATATACCAAACCTTGAAATAATAGTTTGTTATTCTAGCTTTGACAAATGGATTTCCATGTTGCCATCATTTGTGATTTATTACTGTACAGACTCACGGAAACATGGAATCTGTTCGTTTAATTTTTTACGAAAAAGCAAAATTGAGTTAGTGATGACGTCATCTATGCGTCTGCCCTCCAATAGGTCAAACGAAAGAACGAGTCAAAATGCACGTAAAGTTCAGCTTATTGTGTAAAAACACTGTAAAGATGAGAAAGTAACAGAAAAGAACGAAAGTGATTAAGGATGGAGAAAATTGACACGATTTTTTTTTAGTTGCGAATAAGGCAACTTTTGCAAGGTGTACACAATGTAACTTGGCCCCTCTAAGGCTTACGTTGTTCTCTCTTTGTTAGGAGACAAGTACTTCAATCCAGGAAAGATTCTAACAAAGATGGAGTCGTGGTCTTACCACAACGCAGAAAAGATTCTTTAAAAGACAGCAGCACACGCATACCTCAATTCAACAATACTTCGCCTCCGAGAAGAAAAGACAGCGACAGGCTACCCAGCTTGCCACCTCAACCTGAAGATGGTTACGAAAAAGTTGAACCTCCACAACGGACGAAAAAACCTCCACCCGTTCCATCCCTCACAGGTGTTGCTCAGTCGTCACATGTCAGCGGTGGCCCCCCTCCACGGCCTCATAAACCTTCTGAACTATCAAACACACTAGTTAGTGACATTGATCCATGTACGCCTCAACAAATCGTCCCACCTGTGAGGCATTCACGGAGTAGCAGTTCTTCTTCAGGTCCCTACGAAACTGTTGAAATCGTTTCTCAAAAACGTGAAGGTTCGAAAGGAGGTAGTGTAGGTGAACGCACACCACCAAGGCCACCTAAACCTGGTAGTGGTGTGATTGAAGATGACAGCTCAAGTATTTATATGCAGCCACCTATACCAGTGAGTGTCATAAGCCCGATAGATGACTCCGATATTTACGATAATGTCCACATCAAAAACATTCCGTTTGGAGCGAAAGATGGTCTGCATGGTGTTTCTACTCTAGGAGCGAAGGATGGTGTTGCTGAGGCTTGTACTGGAGAGACGAATGAACCTACTGTCCTTGGTGGTTCTGCTGGGGAGAGAAAAGAATCTGTTGACATCGGAAATGAAATAGCTTCATCAGGGACTCAGGAGACAAAGGGTGACGCCACGAATATCACAGAACGTGAATCAACGGATGGTAACCTTGAAATCGATTCTGGGGGGATGGGATGCGAGAGTCTCGCGCAGGCAATCGAAGAGCGACGGCAGGTTTTGCAGGAGGAAGAAGCTAAAGAAGGTGTGGTGTTACTTTCTAAACAGATGCTGAACGAGAAAGGTTCTGATCTGAGTCATACCTATGGTATGTGATTTAGCTGTTTAAGAGGCATGCGCAACTGTTCATTCACATCTTTCACTCATCTCACACTTTGCAAAAGGTCTCTTCATCTCTCTTTGCGTGTCTTTGTCAGTCAGTAACACTCCCATGGTTGCAAGATTATAGAAATTCCACCAGTTGCAACTCTTAGATACATTAGGGCGTTATTGACCAGGTGGGTTTGGTCAAAGAAGCTGGATTTTGGCGAAGATCACCGCTTTGCAGTTAAAAACTATAATTGGTTAGAGTGGTGTTGCTGAAGCCCAATAGTTTTTGTTTTGTTTTGTTACTTGTGATTTATATGAGTTTAGGACTCGACCGTTCTCAATGTTTTGTCGTATTATAAAATTGTTGAGCCAAATGAATATGAATATGAATATCCAATCACTTAATTCATTCCTATCGTGACACAAAAACAGAAGATTGTGCGCGTTCTTGGACTTCTCCATCTAATGTGCGGCATCGTTGTTTTCATCTTGACCTTTTCCGGCTCTTACAACCATTCTCCTAAACTTATCATCTAAAAACACCGACAGGAAGCGAATTACATATTTGGAAATCATTTAGATTGCAAACCTGCCTCGTATGGCAGGTTTGCATAGGACTGACAAAGTCACGGGACTCTTCATGTTTTCGGAAAAACTGCAAGAGCCTTTTTGATACCTTTTATACCTCGCTCATCCATTTGAGAATCAGTCTGGCAACTAACACCGCTCATTTGAAAAAGTTGCTTAACTTCTGATGGATGTAACTTTAATTTCCTCTCTCTATTCTGAAGGCAAGTGGAAAGGGAAAACCTCAAAATGAATCCATTAAATCTGTTTATGCATCACTAACGTGCATATAACATCTTGCAGGAGAAACATAGGGTCTAATCTCGTATTCTTATCTTATTTTGTTCAGCAAAAAGGTGGGTAAGTATCTGCTGTTCGGTAAATCGAAAAGGAGTGAAGACTGAGCACTGCAGTGGCTATGGTCTCCTCTAATCATAATGCTTACACAATTCTTACTCGTGCAAAGCCTCACTGTTTATAACTGGCCGGTTGTTAATTCTTTGAAGCGTTGCTGCTGATAACAGCATTTTATATCCATTTTTACTTCTCTGCGTCTGTCATCATATCTCTCAATTTTCGTTGAGTCGTACGTGTATCTATTTATATTGGAGTGTAGAGATCAATAGTTCGAAAGGTCGATAAAAAATCGAATTGTAGTCAGTAGTCAAACGAGTACAACCTCAATCAGCAAATTTTTGATTGAGTCGTTAGAATTCTAAAAATGTTAGATTCATAAATCGAAAGCAGTTCCCCTATTCAGGAAAATCTCATTTGAGTTTACTTTAGACAAACAAATATTACGTGCAGAAAACTTGCAACTAATGTTCCCTTTGTCTTTTTTCCTCCAAAGCTGCTGAAGAGATTGGAGATAATAGACCTATTGGAGATAATAGACCTACTTCGGGCAGCAATCCACTGCCTCCTCCTCCTCCCCTCCCTCCAGGAGTGCCCCCACCTCCTCCCCCATTAGGAGGAGGCCTTCCTGGAAAATCTTGTGCAGTCCAGGCCAGAGTTAAACTTCGACCTTTTTTTTGGATGCCAGTGCCGATGCAAATGGTTAGTAGAATATTTTTTGCACTAGAGCAGATGTTTCCAGATACATGACCAATCAGAGACATTTTGGTTATGGATTCGTTTTGCCGTTTACGCACCATTCATTTTGAAGCCCCTCACTCTGATTTATGGTGTATGACATAGAAACTACGTACAGTCCCAGGCTCCCGAATAAATTTTTTTTAAGCTAGTCGGTCAGTTGGTCAACTTACGGTACTTAGTCTTACAGCCAATAACATCCCGGCAAAACTGACCAATTTGTGTATACGAATCTGACGCCGGCTGCTAACCAACAAAAACTCTCTCTTGACTTCGATGATGAATTCTGCCAAGGTTGTCAAAACGTCAGTCACTATCACCGACAGCATTCCTTCCTAAGACTACCCTCACCAGGACGATCAGACTACACGAACGAATGTTACCTTCGGGTGTAAATCATTTGCTGTGGTGCGAGTTAATATAGAGTATCTAAATTTTTCTTATTTAGGTGTCCAACTCCATGTGGATGCAAGCCGCTGATCGCACAACGAGCATAAACTTGGATTTGCTGGAAGAAATGTTCCAGATAGAGGAGAAGGAAAAACCCTTACCTACTGGTGGGTTTGATTCACAAGGAAGAAAAACATGAAGTGAAGCATACATCCTTTCTTAGTTTATTGGGAACTGTTTTTAACAATATATCGCATTATTTTTCCACAGCCCCCGCTAAACCCACGGTGAAGACGTTACTGGATCCAAAACGAGCACAGAATCTTGGTGCGTGCGCTACCTCAACGAATTGTTTGTCATCAGAGCAGTTCAGTTTTCAATTGAGTATCGAAAGCTATCTGGGATTGCCTCGTTTTTGCTTTAATTCGCTCTGTGGTTGGTCGAGCATAGTTACGCCACCATCGCAACCAATCAAATCAAGAACTAAAATCAATTCTAATTTGGTCACTCGCGTTTTCCCGCGCTTCAAGCAGGTTGCCTCTTTTTACTTTGAGTTCTCATAGGTTAATGATGATGTTCTGATTGGTGGTTGTGATAACTGAAAACTACGATTGAATTGTGCTATCCGGGTTTGCGTGTGCTTTACTTTGAAGACCGCCTGAACTTTCACTTCTCTTCGTCTCTTGAGAATATGTGCCTTTGTTCTGATTGGCCATAGAAATTACTTCGGCTTGGTTTCTACAACACTACATTAAATAATTCTCTAAATTGACTTGTGTCAAAAAGTTGATTGAAAACAAAGTCTTCGTATTCTAAAGTCATTCTTATATTACTGTGTTTCGTGGTATAAACTCACACCCGCACTTTGAAATAAAGATTTTAGAGCGTTGGTGAGCGTTTTATTTTTTCCATCTTGAGAACTGACTTGTTTCGTCTGACACCGTAAGGATGCAAAGAAGCGGTGGAGCTTATAGAAGAATTGCGTTAAATATAACATTTCACTTCTCTAAAATCCTAAAAAGCTGGCGCCTAGTCTCTAATAATTTTTATTTTTTCCCTAGGAATTTTCTTAAGTGGGTTCAAACTGAGCACCAAGGAGATTGACGAGAAGCTGAGTGTGTTCAGAGAAGAAGATGGCGCCCTACCTATGGATCAGGTGATCGCTTTGAAAAGGTAACAAAATGATAATCTTGTTCAGGTGATTGCTGTGTAGTTGTTGGATTAAATTGATTTATTTCAATCATTAGGTTTCTTCCATCAGCTGAAGAATTTGAGATGTACAAGAACTACAAGGAAGATCCCAGCACATTGGTGCCAGCGGATCAATTTATGAAGAAGGTAACAACAGAAGACACTATTTGAATAACATTTGGCGTCTCTAACGAATTATGCGAAGTTCTGATTTTAATTTGATGGCAAATAAGGTCTTGCTTCGCAGTTGTAGGGAAGGACTCGGGTGTAGAGTGCTTTTAGAGACCAGGAACCCGTCTCTCGAAAGTCCCGGTAAGGGGCCCGAAACTATATTTTAAAATCAATATTTAAACAATAGCAGTTTCTGGCACCTTAACCCTAAACCCTTCTCTTGATTGAAGACAGAACAGTTTTACGGGCCCGTCAAGTTACCCTCGAGTAACAGAGAGAAACGGGCCTCGGTAACTTAAAAAGTTTTGAATTATATAATAAAACTTTCAACTAAAGAAACAAATGGACTGGTTAGGGTGCCAGAAACTGCCTCTCTATTGTTTAAATTTTGATTTTAAAATATGGTTTTGGTTAAAATATGGCCTGTTAAGTTATCGGGACTTTCGTGAAACGGACCCTAGGGCAAGGTTGCTCGAAGGGGGTTAATCAATCTAGGATTAAAAGGTGATCATGGCTTTTATGTGTCACGGAAAAGAGCGTTTAAGGTTTTGTTTGGTTTTATTTCAATATAACACGGAACAAGGTGGGAAAAAAATCCAAACGAAAATCCCTTTGCAGAGCTCTAAAACTGAATTTAAAATTTACACTGACCTTGGGCTAATGTAATCGTGTTTTGAACAACCCAGCCCTGAAAGGCAAAGGAATCATCGAAGATATGTTTTCCTCCCCCAAACGTTATATGTAATATTTTCAAGAGTTATGGGTTTTTTAAATCGAGTTTTTCTTTGGTCTCTTTCTTCTTGATAAGCTTTGTGAGATAAACGACCTGGAGAAACGTTTGGATTTATTGCTTGTCATCATGGAGTTTCCCCAACAGTTTGAAGATCTTGCACCGGTAAGTATCTTTACTATGGCGTAGAAATGTGATGCAAGCGAGAACAACTACACACGTCCGTAGCCACAGCTAGTAAGCAGGTTTTTAAATAATTCAAAAACACGTGGTACTCCTGAAGTGAAACAAAGACTTCAGAACGAGTCATTCTTTATCGCCGAGGGGTTGGAAGGGGCGGCGCGGAAGATTTTCGGGGGGTCACATATGAATGTTGCAGAGCCTTAGGAGGGGATCAAATGAATTTAATAATGCCACAACCAAAATCCTCCGATCCTACCAGGCGATAAACTGACCGGTTCCTTAGAACGCGTGTGAGTATTCGCAACAACCAAGAGTAAGAAGGAAAGAGGTTTTCGTTGCAACACCCCAAGATAACGCTGTACACTTTTCAGTTGAAACTTTCGACAAAAGGGGTCAATGTTAAATTTACTATTGATCATTTGTTTTTCTTTTTCAGAACGTGAATAATCTTTTGCAAGCCTGCAGTGAACTTTACAACAGCAAAAACTTTCAACTCACGTTGGAATACGTGTTGTCAGTTGGAAACATTCTGAACACGGGAAGTACCAGAGGGGGTGCATATGGGTTTAGGCTTCATTCCTTACCAAAGGTAACCTAGTACTAAGGCGACTCACTAGTGGTCAGAATTGGCTCGTCAAACTTAACACTGTTCTTATAACCAGCAGAACTGGTCTTGTCATTTGGTTTAGGCCAGTAGACTATTTCGCTCCAGCACGTACTACACGCGAAATGCGCGCCGCGAGAATTTTGAAAGCCATTGGTTTATTGCAGACTCTTGAAATCACACTGGATAGCGCAGCCATAGACTTCTTTTTCTTAAATTGCTAGCCCCATTGTTGTCTTTTTACACTCAGTTAGCTTTTTGGCCACGACGACATGTTCAAAAACACTCGAATTTTTTACTCAAAATTGAGGCTAAAAGAGCTAATTTTCCAGCTCATCAAAGACTCCTGGATTCTGAGCTCTTGAGTTTTTGTGTTACATTCGTAGATGGCAGATATCCGCGGAAATAACAAGAAGTACAACCTCCTCAAGTTCCTTATCCTTCAACTACAGCAGTCCAATCCAGAAGCGTTGAATTTCACGGACGAATTGAAAACCGTTCAGAAAGCTGCTACGTGTGAGTTAAAATATTGAAAATTTA